TCTTGACATCCTTTACGATCGGTTACGATGCCTAGAGTACGGAGACCTGTACGATTTCGTCAACTTAGTGAGTTTGATAGGGGCCGTATAGTGGGACTTCGGGAAGCTGGACTTTCTTTTCGGGCAATTGCAGTTAGAGTGCAAAGAAGTGTAGACACTGTGGTTAGGTGTTGTCAGGCATGGCTTCGAGAAGGCCGTACGCAAAGAGCAAGGGGCACTGGATGCCGCCGTAGAATAACAGACCGTGAAGATGGCCGCCTAAGATTATTGGCCTTAAGGGACCGTTTCTCCACTACCAGGTCCATTGCAAATGAATGGTTTGCAGAACACGGAAGACCTATTGGCATGCGAAGTGTTTACCGACAAGTTTTGGCTTGTTTTCATACCGGCCACACTGGGTCCTCCCTTTAACTCGAGAACACCGACGTAATTGCCTTGAGTGGTGCAGGCAACGGTCACTCTGGGATCAGGAATGGAACAGTATTGTCTTTAGTGACGAGTCTCGATTTTGTTTTGGCATGCACGATGGTCGTGCCAGGGTTAGAAGGCGACGTGGGGAAAGGAGGAATCCACAGTTTTTTGTTGAAAGACATGTTCATCACACTGTTGGCGTTATGGTTTGGGGTGCTATAGCTTATGGTTCCAGGTCACCTTTAATCTTCATCAGAGGTAACATGAACGCGCAGCGTTATATCCACGAAGTTCTAGAACCCCATCTTTTACCCTATCTTGACACCCTGGCAGATCCAACATTCCAACAAGATAATACCCGACCACATGTTGCAAGAGTCACAATAGACTTCTTTCAACATAATGATGTCACATTGTTACCATGGCCACCAAGATCTCCCGACTTATCCCCAATTGAGCACGTGTGGGATATGATGGGTAGGAGATTGCTCAATTTGCAACGTCTTCCTCAGACTCTAGAAGCACTTCGAGAGGAGTTGGTGGTTGCCTGGAATGAGATAACCACAGGAGGACATTGACCACCTGATCAGAAGCATGCCTAGGCGCGTTGGAGAATGCGTAGCACATCAGGGTGCATCCACACATTATTAAAGGTCAAAGGGCTTTAAAGCAGTGCAATCATTTTGAAATTCTTATCATTTACTTATTATGCTTCATTAAGTACTTATACAAAATTTTATTAAAATAAAACCATTTAAACTGGGTGTTCGGATTTATATGTCACTTAGTATATGTTTAACAGGAAAACTAAAATTGTTACATTTTATCAGCCACAACCATCAAGTGCAAATCAAAGAAACATCTGCACTAATTCCTAGACTAAATAAAACTAGCAGCCACAGATCATTCTACTTTCTATGCTCAAAATTTTATAATGTTTTTCTGCAAACTTTAAACATATAAAATGTAAAAAACGTTTAAACATTGAATAAAAGTTATTGATCTAAGACTATAAATCTAAATGTTTGTTGTATTTATATAATTCAAGTACGATTAAAATCCAAGCACCAGTGTACACTTTCTTAGGTGTATTATGTTTATTAGACACTGCCGTTATTGGTTATATGAAATTTTTTTAGTTAGACCATTATTATTATCATATTGGCACATTTAACATCTTCAATGAGAGATCCATAGGAGCAGCATTCTAAATCATTTTCATCCGATTATCTCATGTTGTGTATAGAGATGGTTAATAAAAAATGTAATCAATTCTATTCTCAAAGATGAATTTTTTGGTTCATTTTAATATGCATGCGTAACTTGTTAGTTGTATCAATTTATTTTACACCGAAGCAGCCTCCAAGGCAGAAGCCTCAACGCCAGGGTCTCGAGTATGTGCTTTAAAGAAGAGTCATCGACTAGTCGGACAGCTCTCTTCTAAACAGCATCAAGCAAGGATAATGTAATCGCTCCGGCAGCACCCCAAACGTGTGAACAGTACCCGAGGCGAGGTCTTATCATGCCCTTAGATAGAGTGACGAGGTCATGTGGAGAAAAGTACTTCTTGGCCCTAAACAAGTAGTCTAGCTTCTTCCAGCAGCTGTCGCTATTGGCGAGATGTACAGTACTGTATTTTCTAAGCATTAAACGGTACAAGATTGTTGTGTCCAAGCGATGATAACCCCTAGGTCTTTCGTCAGAGTGGAAGTCGCTGCTAGACTTCTATCTGCAGCTTACCGGAAGAGATCGACTTTTCACTCTGAATTCCTGCATGTAGAGTGCTGTCATCAGCGAAGCTGTGGGTCGAATTGATCGTTTAAGAAAGGAGATCATTGTAAGAGCCAAGGCCCATTTCTGGAGAACACCTGCGTTAGCATTGTGGGATGAGGAGGAGAACCTGTCAATTACGACGAATACCATACGTAGGACACCCATCTGCAAAGCTTCTCTGGATGCAAGTTTACAGAAAAAGCGTAGCGTGGCACAAATGTTCAAATTCACAGATCCGATAATATTTTGAATACAACGCGTTATTTTGATACCATTCGCCCTGGTCTTCCCTATACCTCCTTTTGTTGTACAGGGTTTGGCCGGAAAGTAATAGGACTCGTTTTCTTCCGCCATGACTGTACTTCGGAGCGTGCGCGTTCCTAGCTAACGAATGAGCGTCCAAAAAAGGGAAGAATGAGCAAATCCAAAGTGAAAACGATGCTCATTGTCTTTTTTGACATCAAAGGCATCGTCCACCATGAATTTGTCCCTCCTGGACAAACCGTCAACGCCAAGTTGTAAGTGGAAGTGCTCAGGAGACTCAAACGAAGGGTCAGTCGGGTCCGACAAGACATCGCAGCCGACTGGAAGTTGCACCACGACAACGCCCCGGCTCACACCGCCTTTCTTGTGAATAGCTACCTGACGAAGGCCGGCATCCCAACGTTTCCGCAGCCGCCCTACAGCCCAGATGTGCCCCCCGGACTTTTTTTTGTTTCCTCGCCTGAAAAGGCCGATGAAAAGCAAGCATTTTGAGACGACAGAGGAGATCCAAGCAGCATGCACCGCGCCTTCAATGCTTGGAAATCGCGCTGCAGCGCTGCATCGACGTAGAAGGAGCCTATTTTGAAAGTTTTTAAAGAATTCTAACGATTGGCTCAATAATTTTTTTAAATCGACTATGTCCTATTACTTTCCGGACAAACCCTGTATCTAACATCGCGACGGCGTCACAGCTTTCTGTAACGAGTGGCATTTCCAAACTCCCGGCAGCTGGCAGCTGAAATTTTACGAAGCTGAAATCAGTAACACTTCATTTAACAATGCTATAAAGCTGTGTATGGTGGCCACATAGAAGTACTGATAACAGGGACATAAAAGATTAGCTTTACGGGCGTTTATTTCATGAAATGGACTCGATAGCTGTTTACTGATATGCCGATACATATGTTGTTTTTATCGACATAATTCCAGTGATACTGAAGGTCTGGGTTATACAGGGTGTGGCAGAGAGGATGGACGGTTTTAAAACAGTCATAAAATAGTTAATTTTCACTCCGAGACAAATTTATTGCTGGAATCAGGTTCACAAGGAAATAGCATTTGAGACAGTCAAGTGTGGAGAATCAGATCAGGCATGTGGTGGCCGAAATCGTTGATGCAGTGCTGGAGGCGTTCTTGGAAGTTCGCGTAGACTCTCTCCAATATCGCTCTCTCAACTTGGGCGACTTCCACGCGAATTTCGCCCTTCAATTCGTCCAGAGTTCGGGGCTTGTTAGCGTATACTCTAGCCTTGAGGTGTCCCCTTTAGTAAAAATCGCATATAGATAAATCTGGGGACCGAGGAGGCCAATGGACATCGCCAAACCTGGAAATAAGGCGACCAGGGAAGAGACGGCGAATAACGTCCGTGGATGCTCGGGTTATGTGGGCGGTCGCCCCAACCTGCTGGAACCACACACGTCGGATTGGAACACGTTGCCGTCGTAATTCAGGGAGAAAGAAGTTGGTGATCATGTCGACGTAGCGCTCTAAGTTCACGGTAACATCACGACCATTACCGTCTTCGAATAAGTAAGGGCCAATGATGCAAGTTTGCGATACAGCGCACCAAACCGATACTTTTGGGCTGTGCAGCGGTCTTTCGTGTAACTCTTGCGGATTTTCATTAGCCCAATAACGACAATTCTGCTGGTTAACGATGCTGTTTAGGTGAAAGTGGGCTTCGTCACTCATAAACAAAACGAAGTTCTCATTTTGATCGATCAGTGCTTCCATCTCACGTGCGAAGTTCATTCGTTGTGCATAATCTCCGGGCTGTAACTGTTGCACAATGGCCAATTTGTAGCGGTGAAAGCGGAGATCCATATGCACAATTCGCCTTACCGAACGATCACTAAAGCGAAATGCAGCAGCATGTTTCCGAGCAGATCGAGTCCGACTGCGAAGAAAGACCTGTCGAACGCGTTCAACATTTTCAGGAGTTCGAACTGTTCGCGGCGCTCCTCTTGGTCTTCTGTTGATCAGTTCACCACGCCTGCGAAGTGATTCAACGCAACGAAGGATGGTGTTTCGAGAGGGAACAGCTCTATTCCGATGAATGTTGAAGTGGCGACGAAACTCGCGCTGTACGACGATGACTGACTCATTATTTCGTCCAAGGCTCCATAACGACAACTGGTAAAATAATCTCACGAGTCAAACGACACCCTCCCCACCTCTCTCGTAGACGGAAGCGGAGAGTACTACCCATCCGAAAAATGTCCGTCCTCTCTGCCGTACCCTGTATTTTATACTTACTGACGCTATACAATAGTGTGTCGTGTTTGAAATGGTTGATGGGCCCTTTAATATTTCTACTTTTGGTAATTGATTAGGTTTTAAAATCCGTAAGTGGTTTCCCTATTAACTTTGACCGAAAGTCGTTCCCCGATCGCAATAATGTCTATCTTTTGAATCAAATGGAAAAAAATTAGCGGATACGCTTTTGAAAAAAGAACATTCATTCTATTAAGACGGATGCAGACGCCCAAATTGATAGGAATGTTGGCCATTTAACCATTTTTCTCGTACACGAATTACGAAAAACAATATACTTCCAATCTTTCATTGCGCGGTACTGTACCTGAGCTATTCTCGTAATGGAACTTTCTTCGCTGTTTTGATTTACTTTGAGCCTGCAACAAACTTCAAAGAATGTTTGTCGAATAATTTATTTGTAATTCCGTTAAGTCTTTCATGTTGCAGAATAGCATTTCATCAGCCCTTTATTTCAGAATAATCTTATTTCAGGGACTATACAAATGTTACGAAATACAATTATTCGGTGGTGTCGACCCAGTTTCTCCCTTTGTTGGAACTTATCGCTTTTTACGGTCCGTCAGGCGCTTCGCATATAACGCTAAACAAATCAAGGATACTAATTTTGTAGCTTGACTTCCGAGGCGCATGATAGGAAAAATGATATGAAGTAGGAGAAATAGACTTAAAAGCAACTCTAGTTAAATTGTTAATAGAGCATCTAATTAGTATTTAACCAGATCTTAAGACATTCTATTTTGTCTTCCTGCGCTAGTTGGCGAGGAATTATTGTGGGAAAAAATTAGCAAACGATGTTTGGTAACTATCTTTCTTTATAATGTATCTTTTATATCTAATATACAGGGTGTTCCTTGATAATATGCGAATATTGAAGGGTGTGAGTGTACATGAAAAATTAATTTAGTTTGCTTAATAAACTGTGGTCCACAAATGTTTCATTACAAAGACTCGGGGTGTTGGAGTGGAAAATGGAAATTAATTAATATTTTTAGAACCGCTTCACTGATATCACTGATCAACAGCCAAAAAATATCCTAAATAAAATCAGCAAAATATTACTATTTTTAATGTGCTAATACCGGAATGAAACTTATTTTTTCAATATTAGTTCAAGTTTTAGAGATTCGGTAATTATATGTGTTCCTGCTGTGACAGTGTTAATATACTGTAATTCACAAGAATGCACATGCTTTATATTCGGCATGGAAAGATGATGTAATCGGCATGATTGTGTTACGTTATACATACGTGTACATTATATTGTTTTATATTAGCCATTTTTTCCTCAGTTGGCTGACAGCGATCATGCAAGATGTCTCGAAAGTATGTAAACAATCCAGATCAGTTTTGTTACGTGTGTGGTGATGTGACTTTTGCGTCTCAGTGACGGTCTGTTACTCCACTAATAACAAAGGCATATCAGCTTTATTTCGGTTGTAAACTAGGTGATCAAGACAAACAGTGGGCACCCCACATCTGCTGGAATACATGTGCTTCAAGTCTGAGGAGCTGGTTAAATGGCAAAAAACGGTCTATGCGCTTTGCTGTCCCAATGGTTTGGAGACAGCCTACAAATCATATTAATGATTGTTACTTTTGCATGGTACCTTGTGTTGGACAAGCCAGAGGTATGTCCAAGAAAAAAAAATCGGTTATTAACTACCCAAACATACCATTTGCGATGAGACCTGTGCCTCACAGTGACGAAAATCCTATTCCGGAACTTGCGAATCAGAAAACGAATCAGATCATGGCGATCGAGTGATTCGTCCGGAAGAAGATATGCCATCAACGTCAAGAGATCCTGATTTTATACCGAGCACGTCATGCCACCAACCGCACAAAATAACACAGTCAGAATTAAATGATCTTGTAAGAGATTTAGAACTTCCAAAATGTAAGGCAGAGTTACTTGGATCAAGACTGCAGCAGTGGAACTTGTTAGAAGACGATGTTTCGGTATGTGTTTTTCGTAAACGCCACAAAGACTTAGAACCATTTTTCAATATGGAGAATAACTTGGTTTTCTGCAGTAACATTAACGGCTTACTGGCGGCTTTAAATATAAACTATAACCCAGAAGAAAGGTGATTGTTTATAGACAGTTCAACATTGAGTTTAAAGGCAGTTTTATTGCATATTGGAAATATTTTACCATCTCTTCCTGTAGGGTATGCAGTTCATATGAAAGAATCATATGACAATATGAAGTACCTATTGACATGCATAAAATACGATGAGCACCAATGGCATATTTGTGGCGATTTGAAAGTTGTTGCACTTTTACTTGGGCTGCAGCTAGGCTACACAAAGTTTTGCTGTTTTTTGTGTGAATGGGACAGTCGGGCAAAGGCACTTCATTACACCAGACAAAACTGGCCTGTTCGTCAATTCCTAGAGCCAGGTCAAAAAATGTACAGTAGATTCGAAAAAAAATTTATTACCACCACTGCATATCAAGTTGGGCCTAATGAAAAACTTTGTCAATGCATTAGATAGAGATGGGTCAGCTTTTCAATACCTGCGTCAGAAATCTCTAAGACTAAGTGAGGCAAAGGTTAAAGAAGGTATTTTTGTTGGGCCACAGATTCGACATATTTTGAAAGATACACAGTTTGAAAACACTTTAACAGGAATTGAAAAAACTGCTTGGAATGATTTCCGTCTGGTGGTCACTAATTTCTTGGGAAATAGAAAAGCTGACAACTATAAAACCCTTGTCAAAAATATGATGTCATCGTATCAAAAGATGGGCTGTAATATGTCTCTTAAGATACATTTCCTACACTCACACCTGGACTTTTTTCCTGACAATTGCGGAGCCGTAAGTGATGAACACGGCGAACGTTTTCGTCAGGATATTTCAACAATGGAAAAAAGGTTCCAGGGAAAGTGGAATTTTTCCATGCTTGCAGACTACTGTTGGACTCTTGGTAGAGATGCTCCAGAAACGATCCATAAAAGAACAGCAAAAAGACAGCGCATATAGTGATTCTTATAAGTATATGAATCTTGTTAATTTTTTTAATATATCCTTAAAAATAAAAAGTTTTTTTTCTAAACCGCAACTAATTTTTTTATTTCGTTGTCATTTTTGGATTCAGCGCCCCAAAATTAACAAAGAAGTGCACTTTTCCACAAGATACAATTAAAAAACTAAAATTTGTTGTCCAGTGTAATATGCGAATATTTAAGGGTGTGAGTGTACATGAGAAATTAATTTAGTTTGCTTCATAAACTATGGTTCACAAATTTTTCCTTACAAAATCTCGGGGTGTTGAAGTTTTAGGAAAAAAATGGAAATCATTAATATTTTTAGAACCGCTTCAGATATTTCACTGATACTAGTACGTAGTGAAAGTTAATAAAGTTGCATATTAATCAATGCAAAAATAATTTTTTGTTTTAACAGTGACATGCGTACTGGTAATAACTTCGGTATTTTTTAAGAAAAAAATTGTACGCCAATAGTTTTCTGCCAGATAAAAACTATTTTTGAATTCCCCATTCAATTTGAAAACAAATAATCTCTCTTGAATTGCTTTCCATTTTTGAGTAAAAAAATAAAAACCGTTCTATTGTCTAACTTGCAAAATTATTATTAATTTAATTGGAAAAATTAAACGCGTTAGGGATAATAAACAACAACAACTGACAACATAAACATAACATTAAAACTAACGAAATGATTACAAAAATTGTTGAAAATGGCCCCCTTCAATTAGTATAACGATCTTCCTCGTACAGCACTGCTTCCTCAATTTCAGGTGTTCTCACACTTAGAGGTCTACCTTCAGATGTTCCTTTCCGGACAGAACCAGTTTCAACAAGACGACGATGAATATTAGAAAAGGTTCGACTATCTGGCAAAGCACGATCGGGATATCTCTGGTGATAAATCCGTCTGGCTTGCTCACCGTTACCGTCGGCAAAGCCATATACGTAATGCATTATTAACAAGATTGTAAAAACTAAATAATGAAAAAGATGTCACAGCGAACAGAGACTTGTCAGATGTCAGAAGCCAGTGATATATTCGAGAGATTTATTACATTAATTTTCTCGGACAATAGAACGGTTTTTATTTTTTTGTCAACGGAGACAGAATCGCATAGTGTCATCTTGCTGTTCTTCTTCTTCAAGAAGCAAGCGTTAATGTTTATGAGTATACATTCACCAAACAAAAATATTCTGCTTGCGGTCACCGTTCTCTATATGCGCTGCTATTTTCATCCGGATGGGATGGTACGGTGAATTTTTAGGATGCCATCGGGCCGTGGTCTTAGTCTCGGCAAACGGCGGTGGCTATACAGAAATAGGATTTGTATTCCGTCACAGCCGGCTGACTTTCACGACCGACACCACCGACCAAGGTCTTTTTACGGCCTTAAATATAAATTACCCGCCAAACGGCTCGCCTAAATGGCATGGGGTGGACAGCATTGGATTTTACGGTGCTCAGGATGGGCGCCTCGGAGAGGATTGTGGACGGGAAGAACGATTTACCTATGTGAATAACGTATCCAAAACGGATAGGCTAAAATGAAACCGGTATTTTATTTCTGGCCTTGGATGCTGTCTAAATACACTTCTGTCTCAAATTCGACCCTCACCGTTGAGATTTCTAAAAAACTGAATGTAGATCAAAATAAAATTCTTAATCATGAGAAAAACATAAAAAATATTCATTGCATAACTACATTCTCTTAGTCAGTCTCAAAAAACAAAAACATATAAACTATGAAGCTACATCAGTTCACGGTCTCAAAATAAAATTAGCTTAGCAAGTGATTTGAACAGAATTTGAGCAGACTTTTACATCAATCTGCTGGCCAATAAATAAAACCACATATCTTCATTGGATGCTTTGGAAAAGATCACCGTGGTGGTTTAAACCTAAGTACACTCTTAACTACATCTGCTTTTTCATTTATTGGCTAACAGAAGGGAGATGGATTTGAGAGACAAGTTCAGGTGTATCATATACTAAGTGACATATAAATCCGAACACCCAGTTTAAATGGTTTTATTTTAATAAAATTTTGTATAAGTACTTAATGAAGCATAATAAGTAAATGATAAACATTTCAACATGATTGCATTGCTTTGCAGCCCTTTGACCTTTAATAATGTGTGGATGCACCCTGATGTGCTACGCATTCTCCAACGCGCCTAGGCATGCTTCTGATCAGGTGTCAATGTCCTCCCGTGGTATCTCATTCCAGGCAACCACCAACTCCTCTCGAAGTGCTTCTAGAGTCTGAGGAGGACGTTGCAAATTGAGCAATCTCCTACCCATTATATCCCACACGTGCTTAATTGGGGATAAGTCGGGAGATCTTGGTGGCCATGGTAACAATGTGACATCATTATGTTGAATGAAGTCTATTGTGACTCTTGCAACATGTGGTCGGGCATTATCTTGTTGGAAAGTTGGATCTGCCAGGGTGCCAAGATAGGGTAAAAGATGGGGTTCTAGAACTTCGTGGATATACCGCTGCGCGTTCATGTTACCTCTGATGAAGATTAAAGGTGACCTGGAACCATAAGCTATAGCACCCCAAACCATAACTCCAACAGTGTGATGAACATGTCTTTCAACAAAAAACTGTGGATTCCTCCTTTCACCACGTCGCCTTCTAACCCTGGCACGACCATCGTGCATGCCTAAACAAAATCGAGACTCGTCACTAAAGACAATACTGTTCCATTCCTGATCCCAGAGTGACCGTTGTCTGCACCACTCAAGGCGATTACGTCGGTGTTCTCGAGTTAAAGGGAGGACCCAGTGTGGCCGGTATGAAAACAAGCCAAAACTTCTCATTCGTCGGTAAACACTTCGCATGCCGATAGGTCTTCCGTGTTCTGCAAACCATTCATTTGCAAAGGACCTGGTAGTGGAGAAACGGTCCCTTAAGGCCAATAATCTTAGGCGGCGATCTCCACGGTCTGTTGTTCTACGGCGACGTCCAGTGCTCCTTGCTCTTTGCGTACGGCCTTCTCGAAGCCATGCCTGACAACACCTAACCACAGTGTCTACACTTCTTTGCACTCTAACTGCAATTGCTCGAAGAGAAAGTCCAGCTTCCCGAAGTCCCACTATACGGCCCCTATCAAACTCACTAAGTTGACGAAATCGTACAGGTCTCCGTACTCTAGATAAATGCATTCACCAACTTTTATTAAAATAAAACCATTTAAACTGGGTGTTCGGATTTTTATATCACTTAGTATATTACAAAATCAAGGCGCCTATTGTTTTTGCTGGCGAACCGATCTATGATTGTATTCACGTCTATTTTAATATCCCTATGCATATACAAAAAAGCTAAACCCACTAATCGCTCTTGTAACACAGTGGAGCGCAGCCAAGTTTTTATCCTCTTTAGATGGGAGACACTTCTTTCAGATGTCGCAACACTTACCGGCAATGAAATCAATAATTGTAGGCATCTATTAATTGAAGGAAAAATGTTTTCATCACATGATAAATACAGTGACGTTCCACTGTCTATAATATCTTGTGTACGTGACCTCCAAAGGTCAAATTCTGCTTTTAATCTGGTGCTTATTGAATTTTTGTTTTCGTTAATTAAAATTAATTTTCTGGCTTATGCGTAGAAAATAAAAAATCAATAGAACATAGAAAATAGCGGTAATACTAACCAAATCAACAAAACTTCGCTTGTTCACTTCTCAGCCAAATTTTATCGAGGACTCCGAACTGGTACAGAATTTAGACACTAGACTAGACCATAAAAGACTAGACTATACCTGTTCCAACAGGAAGAAGCGCACACCGTTGCTGTTGGTGGGAGAGTAGTCGCTAGTCGCATGCGCACTGAGCGGGTTGGCAGTGTTGCCGCTATCCTTTCTTAAAGTTACAGATTTTTTTTATAAGACGTTTACCTTATACCACCTTTTCAAAGACTGCTCGTAGGAATGCCAGTGACTTGACGTCATATTATCAATAGCCAGCTTTAGGATATTCAAAATCCTGTTTATAAATAAAAAAACCTTTACATCCCGCTACAAACGATATACTTAAGGTATTCCCCCGATGCTAGCGTAGCATTTCAATTTAACGAAACGCAAAAAAGGCAATCTACACCTCAGCTTTCTAGCTGTGCTCATCAATTTAACGTGCACACCGTATGCATTAGGGAATATTGCGAACGAAAAACTATCCCGTATCTCCCCGAATAACGTGGCAAGATTGATCGGAGTCGACTTCCTCCTAGATGCCTTTAAAAATGAATACATTTTCATATAGCTGGGTGATATATTGCTCCCTCCATCCGTTCAAAAATGAGCTGAAAGCAGCACGCTTATTTTCAAAGGCTCATAATTAGAGTCGAGGCTTTGTATATTCACGTTTCACTTCACGGATTGACGCCAGAAAGGAAATTGATGTGAAATTGGGAAATCGACGGACGCGCGATATGAGATATGAAAAATTTATGAGAAAAAAGGTGTTACGATCGGCACTGGAGGCATACTCGAAAAAACGACATCAAGTAGGTCGACGCTGCACTTCCTACGCAACGCCCTCATCAATCAATAAAGGATCAAGCTCAGCGCAATTTAAATCCTTTGGAAAAAGTCAGTTACGAGTATGTACTACAGATAAATTAAACGTATGATGTGTGTCAAACAGACCCATACAATTAGTTCAGAGACTTTCTTTTTCCGGAGCTACAAGTAGTTACTGTCCATCTGGCAACGCTGTCCCTTTCCACATATGCGTGCTAACTCCCACCGCAACGCCACTGCAGCGATTTATCGATTATTTTGTGTATATGTCTTAACTCTAATGAATCGCAGCAAATACTGATCGTGTGACATTCACCTTATACATCAATAATAACTGACACGTCAATACACTTCTCATTCCATGATAAATACTGACAGATCACAGTAAAGACTGATCGTGTGACATTCACCTTATACATCAATAATTAGTGACGTCCTGGCGACAAGGTTAAAAAACATCACATTCCATGATAAATTCTAACGGATCACAAAAAATACTGATCGTGCGACATTCACGGTATACCTCAATAAACATCACATTCCATGATGAATACTGACGGATCACAGTAAATACTGACATCCTGGCTACGCCAGCCATGTATCACATTTCATCATGAATACTGACCGACAACAGTAAACATCACATCGGATCACAGTAAATACTGACGTCCTGACTTCGCCAGCCATGTATCACATTTCATGATGAATACTGACCGACAACAGTAAACATCACATCGGATCACAGTAAATACTGACGTCCTGGCTACGCCGTCCAAGTATCACATTTCATGATAAATACTGACGGATCACAGTAAATACTGAGGTCCTGGCTGCGCCGTCCAAATATCACATTTCATGATAAATACTGACGGATTACAGTTAATACTGTCGTGGCTACGCCGTCCAAGTATGACATTCCATAATAAATACTGACGGACAACAGTAAACATCACATCGGATCACAGTAAATACTGACTTCCTTTCTACACGATCCATATACATCAGATTCCATGATAAATAATGATGGATCACAGTAAATACTGATCGTGCGACATTCAGCTTGTACATCAGTAATTACGTCCTGGCTATACTGTCTAAGTTTTACATTCCATGATAAATGCTGACGGATCACAGTAAATGCTGACGTCCTGACTACACCGTCCAAGTATCACATTTCATGATAAATACTGACGGTCAACAGTAAAGACTAGTCGTGTGTCATCGACCTTAAACATCTAAAGTTACTGACTTCCTGGCTACACTGTCAATAAATACCACATTACACCATGATAAATACTGACGGATCACAGCAAATACTGATCGTCCGATATTCACCTTGTAAATCAATAATTACTGACGTCCTGGCTATACTGTCCAAGTATCACATTCTATGATAAATACTGACGGATCACAGTAAATGCTGACCTCCGGACTACACCGTCCAAGCATCACATTTCATGTTAAATACTGACGGATCATAGTAAATACTGATCATGCGATATTCACATTGTAAATCAATAATTACTGACGTCCTGGCTATACTGTCCAAGTATCACATTCCATGATAAATACTGACGGATCACAGTAAATGCTGATCGTGCGACATTCACCTTGTAAATCAATAATTACTGACGTCCTGTACCTTGTACATCAGCAATTACGTCCTGGCTATACTGTCCAAGTATCACATTCCAAGATAAATACTGACGGACCACAGTAAATACTGACGTCCTGATTACGCCGTCTAAGTATCACATTTCGCGATAAATACTGACAGACAACAGTAAAGACTAACCGTGTGACATCCACCTTGTACATCAAAAATTACTGACTTCCTGGCTACACGGTCAATAAATATCAGATTCCATGATAAATACTGACGGATCACAGTAAATACTGATCGTGCGACATTCACCTTATACATCAATAACTACAGGCTACACGGTCAATACGCATAACTTTTCATGATAAATACTGACGAAGCTCGGTAAATATTGATCGTGTGACATCCGCTTAAGTCAGTAAGCCTTAGTTACAGAAACTAGAATCAGCTGAGGGAATCGATCTGCACCAACCGTAACGTGACTTTCTCATCAATTTCATAAACGCATCTTAGGATTCCATAGTTATTTTTGTTGTCGTTATCAACCTTCGGGTAAGATACTTCAAAAATTTTCTTTAAAAGTTGAGATGACATTATAATGGAATCGAGTTTAATGATATAGGCATTTTAAATATTTTCGTAAAACTTCTTCTGATGAAAATTGGAACAAAATGGGAAAATATCATGCTCCTGATGGAAACTCATGTGCGTGCAGGTGTATATATGCCTGTTACAGGTTTATCTTAACAATAAGATGTTTTGAAATTTCGCAAAAACACATCTGAATTCAATGCTTTGAACTCATAACATGTTTGTAACCAAATCCATGCAACGTTGCATGATGAAGGCGTAGAAATAGCTATAAAGAGATGTATGGTGTACTTCAATATCAACCTACCAGGCGGTGGTTTACACAATAATCTCCTACAATGTTTCCCACCAGTTTGTCTATTTATTTAAACTACCTTAACAGGGTCACACATACGGAATATCACACAGCATAATAGGAATAGCAATAATAATAATCCTTATTGCCCAACAGTCTCCTAATTACAGAACAGTAATACATAAGCATACCATAAAAGTCAAATTAAATGAAGAACAAAACAAATTATGGATGTGAAATATAAGCAATAATTCCATCAGGAAAAAGTGCAAAGTTTACAGTAAAAAAATAATAATATACGATTTCTGAAATTATGGTAAATTTCAATACGTAGAAGGAATACAAGGCAGACATTTATAATAAACATATAATGAAAGTTTAGTGTCAGACATATTAAGAAAAGAATAGTCCATTTCTCTTCCAAGTACAAAGACCACATTTCAGTATTTTTGACAATCGTTACACTTTTTTACATTCACACCAAGTGCGTTTCTGTAAGGCATGACAGTCCTCCATAGTTGTTTTAAATAAAATGTTCAAATCTTCACCATAAAAAAGTTTGTTACAATTGACAGTATCACACAAGTCATTTATAAATAATTCGAAAAGCAGTGGGTCAAGATTTGATCCCTGCGGCATCTCCGATATGCAAGCGTATTCTTAAGGGTAGTGATCATTATATGAAATTAGATGCCTTCTGTAGACAGATACGAGTCAAAAAATAGCATATCTGAACGATTTAAGCAGCATGTTACTGTCACACCATTATTAAATGATCCATGTGGCTTCCAGCCTTTCACTACCTTTTATTTTTTTACAGTCAGTCGCTTGCCCTCACTGTAATCAAGCATAATCCTTATTTATGGGCAATTATTGATTTTCCCTGAAACCGCAACGAGTATATACTGCGGCTTCCAGGTTTAATAATAGTCCTAGGATCGATAGGTATATTCGATGGAGAACACAAAAGGTCGCCTTTCGTGAAAGAACTTTTTTAAAAACTCGTTCTGAGGGCTTAAACGAGGGCCGTGACTTAATGGGCCAGTGCCTTTCGTGAGCATCACTTGTGAAAACTGTATTGATTCGATCCCAGGAATACAGTATAAAAGTTTCTAGTTACAATCCGTTGCTTCGTTAGTCAATTTTTCGAAACTTAAGCTATTTGCAATGAAATTGGAGATAAGTATAAGTAAGAATACTTTATTTTAGCAATCAAAATAACCTAAATGTTTTGAATGACGCTTTTTCATTGAAAATATCAAATGCAGTGCTAAATTTCTGTTTTTCTGGTCGTAACTTAGGTTTAACTATTGATCCAACTCCGCCTTTCTCTGTCCATACTCAAGCTCTAGACCATTGATTCCCAAAGTGGTCTATATCGACCAATAGGGGTCTATGATAACCTGCAAGGGGTCTACGTCAGCGGAAAAA